GTGGTCGTTTCCCGGCATTCTTGGGGGGAAGAGGAACAGTAAACATCGGGGGAAGGCGGGGCGGCGATGACGAGGGAGGGGGGGGAATGGGAGGGGGAGGAGAACAACGTGGATGGGAGGGAGGCGAACCGTGACACTCTGCGGGGGTGGGGGCCGCCCCCCCCCCTCCCTGTGAGCCCCCGTCTCCCCGGTGTGGGAGGGATCGAATATCAAATGGAATGGGCTTTCCTTCGATTCGAATCGGGCTTGAGACGTTTCCCCTCGGGCTGGTGACGTGGGGCGGCTTTCTCAAGGGATTTGGGTGGAAATCGGCTTCGGCCGTTCACACACGCTGGCACGCCCCGCGCCCGGCGTTGCTCGTCGCGTTCTTGTCTGCAGCCGGTGGCGTCGCCTGCCCATGCTCGCCCGGCGTTCGACCCGTTTCGTGCGCGCGCGTGCCAAAAAGTACCCCATGCAGCCCGTCCAGAAACGACGCCCAGGCGAGTTACTCTGATCATGGCAGTTGGGTCGTAGCCCAGGATGCACTTTGGGGGTCGACGTTATGAAACACATGATGACGTTGGGAGCTTTCTTGCTCGATCGCGGGCCTACCTTGAGGCACCAGAGGCCCTTCGGCAGCGTGAAGACGAGACCCCAGAAACACATTGGCCCGTAGCCACTGTGGCTCAAGGGCAACTTTGCTTCAAGGCGGCGCCCACTGGTCCCTTGTTTTCCTCGGACCGTAGCGCTCACCAGTGCCAGCTCGGCCGGCGCTGTCGCCATGTTCGCCACGCCGCCAACGTTCGACGCCAGCCCCCTCTGGCAGGCCGCCATGCACCAGCCCCCAGGAGGCGGCGGCTCTCCCTCGATCGTTCCGCCCCGAGCCCGCCCCGTCGCGCTGGACGCGCACCGCGATCACGCTGCCGCCTTCTGCCCGCGCCGCGCCGCGGCCGAGGCGGCGCGCATCGGACCGCCTCCCGGGCTGGAGCCGCCCACGCTGCGGCCCCCTGGCGCCTTTGAGTGGCCTGCCGCAGTCGCGCTCGACGAGCCTATGAAGGTGTCGGCCCTCGCGAGCGCGCCCACCGCGATGGAGCCCCGGGCGCCGCCGCAGCACAACGAGCAGCAGCGCTCGCAGGGGAGGCCGCCGCCGGCGCAGCCGCAGGGCACGCGGGCGCCGCGGCCCGCCGGCGGGAAGCAGCGCGCGCCGCCGCCCTCCGCGACGCTCGTGGTCGCCTACTTCCCGCGCGCCGCCTCGGACGAGGACGTCTGCCGCGCGCTCGACGGGGCCGTCGGCAAGGCCAACAGCGTGCGGCGCTGCGAGGTGCGAGCAGGGGGTCGACGACAGAGAACACAGTTTCACCCCACAACTGTTTTTGTCCGCCGAGGCATGCGTAGAATATGTTGGCCGATCTACGATCCGTCCGTGCATTTCTTATGGGTTCGACGACCGAAAGAGTTTTGGGGCAAATCGATGTTGTAGTCGATCCCCTTCTCGATGAGGTGGTGCGCGAAGGTCTGCGGCAGCGAGCTGGGGCGATGGGCTGGGGAGGGGGGGGGGCGCATTCGTCAGCAATTCTCATGGGAACCATGCGTGTCCTCTGACTGCGTGCGCCCCCCGTCGGCCTCACCGCGTGAGGGCGCTCTCTTTTCTGTCCTCCTGTCTTCAGAGTGCACTAGGTAATCGACGAGAAAACGCCGAATTAGCTTTCGTTATCACAACTTTCGCTTCGATGAGCGTCGGTTGGCGTCGGCTCGCGAGGACCAGCAAGATGGCGTGGGAGGCTCCCATGAGTTGTAGCAGAAGATGCATCGATCCCCAATCGCCCATTCATCGCCATAAGGGGCCCGATAGCCCGCTCCGCCCAGGAACGTGCAGATCCGCTATCAGGGGCCTGCCGCCGATAGGTCGGCGACGTATTGCCGATTCTGGCTCGATGCCCCCCCCTTCCTGAGCCAGTTCCCCCCGCAACGTTGCCCCTCAGAAGGGGGTCTGTACGGGTTCTTCGAGTTCGCGGACGCACAGCTCGCGGAGGCGGCCTTGGACGCGTGCAATCGCGGCACGTTGATCATGCGCGACTCGGCGCAGAAGAAGTGGTACCCGAAGAAGAAAACACGCCATGAGCCCAAACTTTTGGCGCTGCGCGCAGGTTTTTTGGATCGGCGCCCGGGGCCCCCCGGCGGCGCCTCCGGCGCCGCCCCTGGCGCGCTCCGCGCGCCAGGGAGGGGGGGGGAGGGGGCCCAGCGCAGATCCAGGAAATCCGTGCGGAGCGTGAAGAAGTTCACGTTTGCGTGTTCTGCTTCCTCTTCTTCTTCCAGGTACCTCCACGCCAGCCGCGCCCGCCGCGCGGCCATCCCCGGCGGCCTGCCCGCGGGCCAGCGAGGCAGGGCCCGCGCCCCGCGCGCGCGCCACGGCAAGCCCGCCGAGCTGCAGCCCGACTCCGACGGCTCGACGGCGCCGCCGACCAGCAGGTACGCCTCGGAAGCGGCGGCTTCCGAGACTGGTGGCGAGACTCCTCTGTGAGCGTCCCCCTCTCTACAGTGGAGACCCAGGCCAAGAAGCGCTCTGCTTGCCTCCAGGGTGCCCTGGGTTCCGTTGGTTTCGATGGTTCTGATGTGGAAAGCGCGACGCGCCCACAACAAAGCTCGATGGACGTCCTGGGGTCTCAGGGTTGGGTTTCTTGTGGAAGTTTCTTGTGGTCGGGCCCCCACTGTATCCACCTTCAGCCCACATCGTGGCCCGAGGGTCTCTGGTGACGCAGGCGCCCTCGGTAGCTTTGATCATCCTCCGCCTGCTCATCCTCGGCACGCTCGACTATCCTCGTTGTCATCCTCCTCATCCTCCGTTTGCCCCTTGTGCACTCTTGCCACATCGACTTGGGTGAAGGCGATGTGGCAATACATCGTGAGCGATATGCTTTAACCCTTTTCCGCGTCGACAAGTTGACGACGGACAATGCATTCAGGAGTCGCACAGCTTTTGCATGCACGTCATGCGCACTCCGAACAGGGAGTTCTCTTCTGCGGCCTCCTGCCTGGGGCCCCACTGCTCATGTGTAGATTGTCGTCCGCAGTTCCAGTGCTGCATCCGAGGGACCTCGTCTCTCTGTACCTGTACACTTCCGACAGGCCCCCCTCTGTCTTTCCTCCTCCCTTCTCCCCTTCTCCCGCCTCCCTGTCCCTCCCTCGTCGGGGAGGCGGCTTCGGAAGAAGCTACCCGGCCCGTTCTGTCTGCCAGCGACTCGGGCGAGGACGAATCCGTTCCAGAGCGTTCCAGAACGCTCCCAGAGCTTCCCGGAACTCTCCTGGGACGGCGCGGCACCCGACCTCAGAGATTCTCTATTTCTCCTCACCGGACCTCAGAGATTCTCAGAGATTCTCCATTTCTCCTCACCCGATGTCATTTCGGGGGTTGCCAAAGGTGCCCCTGCCTCACGGTGCCCCCAGCTTTTCGTTGAATGTTGGAGCCCCTGGGGCCCTCTGGGCCCTCCTGGAGGCCGTGGGGGCCTCCTTGGAAATCCTGAGTGGGCACCTTCGGGGCCAGGGGCACTTCTGGCATCACCCGATCGTTCTGGCTTCGGCTTGCACATGTTTCAAATTGATGGGCTTGTTTTCCACCACCACCACCAGAAGTTGCAGGGGGGAAGGGGAAGGAGGAGGAGGACGAAGAGGAGGAGGACGCGGAGAAGGAGGAGGAGGAGGAGGAGGAGGAGGAGGAGGAGGAGGAGGAGGAGGACCCCCTCTCCCTCCAACTCATGGTGGTGGTGGTGGGAAAGATGCCCATCATCAGTTGCCGCCCGCCTGGCCGCCTCGAGGGGGCGGGGGAAGGCGAATGGCGAGGGCGAGGGCCTCCACACGCCCCACGCCCCTTCTCTGGCAGGGCGCGGCCCAAACGTCGTTGAGCTGTGATGCTGTAGTGGTTTGTGCTGTGCTGCTGTGCGCTTGCTGGGCCTGTTTTCCACCACTACCACAAGTTGGAGAGGGAGGTGGTCCTCCTCCTCCTCCTCCTCCTCCACCTCCTCCTGCTCCTCTTCGTCCTCCTCCTCCTCCTTCCCCCCTCCAACTTATGGTGGTGGTGGTGTAAAACAGGCCCGTCAGTGCTTGCTGGACCCGTGTCTTTCTGTGCTGTAGTCACCGAGCGCGCTCCGCTACTCGCAGAGTGCCTACCCGCAACCGTCAGAGACAAATATGTCCTCTTCTACGTAGAGGTTCGTAAGCCCCTCGTGGCGAATCCAGGCCATTTGCGAGTAGCTACTTTGCGAGTAGTGGAACGCGCTTGCCTATGTACGCGAATCTGGGGAGAGTTAAGCTGGGATGTTTTGATGGCTTGTTAATTGTTGTTTCGTTTTTGTTGAAAGCATGCCTTGCTGTGCTGTGAGCGAATGTGAGGAGAGATGTCCATCGGAGTTCCGAGCGCTGTGTTCTGCTGTATGGTATGCCTTGGGGAAATTGCAGCGCGTAGGCTTTTGGTTGTCTCCCTTTGGTGTAAATGTGTTTTGCCCGTTGGTGTTGTGTTTTGTTATTTTTCGTTCGCGATTTACATCGTTGGGTGTGTTCTGTTTGGGTTTACGTGTTGTTCGGCAATGTTCTAAATACCACACAATTCAGCACAATAGAGTAAGTCATACTGGGAGCAGCAGAAGACAAAGCAGTAGAACATCGTCTGGGCCGCGCCTTGCCCTCCGCCGACCATGCCCTGGACGAGCATGGGCTTGGCACGCCGCACCAGGTGACAGGACCACCTCCAGAACAGGGGTGAACCGCCCCCCTCTCCTGGTCCTTGTCCTTGTGGTTACCTCCTCCCTTGCCTTGGGATGCAACTCTTTCGATGCTCGTTTTGGGGACCTTCCTGGGGCACACCTAATGGATCTGTTCGGCTCCAGTTCGACTCCAGTTCGACTCCAGTTCGACTCAAGTTCGACTCAAGTTCGACTCAGGTTCGACTCGAGTCGCGGGACGTTCGACGCAGCTTCGACGCACGAGCGGAGCGATCTGCTCCAAACAGGTCCTCAGAATGAGCATCTAAGGTTCCCCATTCCCCTCCCATGGGATGCAACTCTCGGGGAGTTGCACTCAGCATCGGCGCTGGTATATCCGCGGTCTCAAACTAAGCCTCATCCCGTAGAATCTCGTAGGATCTGGCTTGGTCGGGTTTATCTTGGTCTTCATATGCTCTTATCCGACTGGATGACTCCTTCAGCGGGCTGGAACGTGCTGAGTCGGTCTTACGAACGCTTCCTAGGAGTTGCCTCCCTACCTGCCCTCTGATGCTGCCAAAGGTGGTCCTGGCCAAAAAGGTGTCGCCCGCTTCTCGCGCCACCTTGGAGCCCCCCGGGCCCCCCAGGGGCCTCGTGAGGGGTGCCCCAGAGGCTGCCTGGGCCTCCCCGAAGGAGCCTGCATGGACCGGGCACACCTTTGGCGGCACCCGGGCCCTCCCTTCCCCCCCCTGCTTGGCATCGCTCGGACGTGTGCATTTTGCCTTCGGCGAGGACCATCGAGGAGCATCCTTGATCACTGGGCGACCAAAAACCACACACGACACCGAAAAAAGCACGGGCGGATCGACGTCCGAGCGATGGCCAGCCTGGCTCCGTCTGGACCTCTCCCTCGGCCACCGGGGTGCCCGGGGGCAGAGCACAGGCACTCCAGGATGCCACTGCCGCACAGCAGGGGCAACGTCGGCGGGGGGGTGCTCTCGGGGGGGGGGGGCGGGGGGGACCCCCAGTGGCCCAGGGATCGCCGACGGCCGCCGGACGGCCCGCCCCGCCTGGGTCAGCGTGAGGCTCTGCAGGGTCTTGCCGTGTGTCGCGATCTGCCGGCGATGCATCGCCGATTCCAGCGCGTTGTCTTTCTTCTCCGAGTCCGTCCCCCCCCCCCCGTCGTTGCCCTCGACGCTCTTATAATCGCACCTGGCCGCGGCGGAGCCCCGCGGGGGTCTCTCCAGGCCAGGGCTGGACCTAAACGCTGTTTTGCTGGGCTTCGGCAAGAAGACAAGCAAAACGGAAACACAACGAGACACAACGTTCAGGTTCAGCCCTGCTCCAGGCCTCTCGCAGGGTGACGTGCGGACGACGCCTGGAGGTGGGGGCTGCCTCCGCGGCGGGGCCCGCTCGCGCACGCTCACTGCAGCGCGGCCTCACGCAGCAACGGAAAAGCAGGAACTCTGATTCCCGAGTGGGAGGCGAATTTTGAGTTTCCTCGTGACGCAAAGGGGGTCCAGCTGAAAGGGGGTAGTGCAATAGATTTAGGGCAATGGTTTTGCGCATGTAATCCAGAATTACTGCGCCAGAGAATTGTATTGCATTGTATTGCAATTAATGTATTGTACGCGAAAGTCCCGCAGAACATCGTGCACTGGAATTTATTGCACCCCCCAAATCTACTGCAACCCTAAACATCTATTGCACCAACTCCATTGCACCACCCCCTTTTCGCTGGACCCCCTTCTGGGACAAGCGAAAAGGGGGTGGTACAATAGAGTTGGTCTGACTTCGCAGCTCCCCCTCCTCGCTTCCCTCCCTGATATACGTCCGCTGCCGTTTTTCGTAGTCGAGGGTGGGAAGGTCTGGATATCCAAAAAGAAGGGGATGAAGCGGGAGCCAGCGCTGAAACACCAACAGTCTGGGCCCGCTTTTTTGGGCCACTTGGGAGGGCGTCCTTCGGAGGCCCTTTGGCCACTTGGAGCCGCCTTGGGGTCGCAGCGGGGCCTCTTGGACTCTTGGGCTCATGCTCGAGGCCTTGCTGAGCTGATTTTGAACATATCGAGCTAGGTAGGGGGCCATTTTGAGCTATCAGGGGCCGTATTGAGCTAGGTAGGTGGCCATTTTGAGCTATCAGTGGCTTTCTGGAGTCACCTTGGTCCTAAGGCCGTGCATACTCAAGCGCCGCTGTAAAAGACTTGTTTTTGTGGAGCCCCCCCTCCCCCCCCCCTGCAATGGGGGACTGTTTTCGGACCCTCCCCCTCCCCAACCTTCCAAGGCGGGATCGGTGGCGGTTTCCGACCCCCCTTCTGCCCCCCTTTGCGCAGGAGAGGGGGAGGAGGGGATTTCGGACCCCCTCCTTTTATCAGTCGTATTATTATTTGTACGACGACTACCACTACTACTATTACTACCACTACTACTACTACTGCTACTACTACTACTACTACTACTACTACTATCACTACTACGACTACGACTACGACTACTACGACTACTGCTACTACTACTACTACTACTGCTAGTACTACTACTACTACTGCTACTACTACTACTACTACTACTACTATTGCTACTCTCACTATTACTACTATTGCTGCTACTACTATCATTACTAGCACTTATACTGCGACTATTACTACTACTACTACTACTACCACTACTACTACTACTACTACTACTACTACTACTACTACTACTACTAAACCTACGACTGCTACTACGACTGCTACCACTACTACTACGACGACGACTACGACTACGAGAACTACTATTACTACTACTGCTACTAGTACTACTTCTACTACTAGTACGGTTAATACTA